TTGGTTCTGGTGGAAAAAACAGGTAGAGAGAGACACTCTGGCCCTACTTGGGGGGATCTTACCTCACGTTGGCACCGCTTGGCAATATGACCACTAAAGTGCAAACCTCGGCGAACTGCGCATGCGCGATAGTTAATTGTACTCGTGGTCTCCCGCTAGTAACTCGCAGAGACACGGGCTAACTACAGTAGTAGATAGCATGCGGAAGTCGATACATGCCATTCATTGTGACTTCCTGAGCCCCCAAGGTACATAGAACAGGCGGATCAGGTCGTGGTAGGCCCAGTGTGATTATGCATATTGGGTTTTTCGCTTGTTCACGCCATATCTCTCGAACGCATTCGTTTCAGGAAAATCACCCTTTTATTTTTCAGGCTCGCGCAGTTCTAAAGCCCCTGGTATCGCTAATAGGCCGCCATGTGTCCATCCTCTGGGTTTGCACCAGAGGATGTTGGAAGTTACGTAACACCACTGCATTTTTGCTGAGTCTCAGCAGCAAGTGTTCTGTAGAGAACGTATTGCAAAACCAAAGCTTTCGCTGAACCAAAGGTAAACCTAGCATTGAGACGGTTTTGCAGACAGGTCAAAGTTCAGCTTCAGGGGTGTGCCTAGGAAAAAATAATTAGTTCGAAATTTTAGGCTCTGTTTATTATTCATGAGTTCGGTCCTGGAAAAAATGCGCATTAAACAGATATGCGTGCGCAATTACATTGCGCGTGTTCTAGGTTTTATCGTGACAACTTTTCTAGGAGCAATTTCAGGAGAAAATTCATGCATGTAGCTGACATTCCAGGACATGAAACTGGAAATGCAGAAAATAAAACAGTAGAATGGCACTTATCCACACGTGCCATTTTACTGTTTTAGTTTGACAACACTGTAGAACGCGTGCAAAACGTTGTGAGGTACTTCCTGCTCTAATCCCTCAGTCAGTTTGCCAGTGTTTTGCCTGCAACTGTGTCGAGCAGGTAGCGTGTGTGTGGCCATAAGAGCCTCCAAAACAAGACAATAACCACACTCTGAAGAACTGTGGTCAACAATTTGAGCAGGCAGAGCACCCACAGTTGCACTCCAAGCCATTCATGTTGGCTAAGGATTAAGAAATAATGTGTACAGGACAGTCCCACTTACTACTGCAGAACCCAACCTACCACTATCCTAGATGAGTCGGCATGCTACGCCCTCAGGTTTTCGGTTATTTCAAATGAGCTTGAATTTACCAATTAGTAAAACATGTAGCTTATGCGATTATGCAAGCATTGTGCCCAATCGAAAAGGGTCCTGCTGTGCTCAGGACCCTATTTTACCGTTGTATGTTTATTCAGGCAGTAGCAACGCATTGTAAGTGTGTGAGCGTATGTAAGTGCAAATGCCTGCATTTTTCACAAGTGTGTGTGGGATGTGGGATGTGTGTACAATGTAGGTATGCTGTGGTTAGTGTGAGTGTATGTGCGGTTGTAATGTGTACTGTGTTGGTTGGTTTGTATGGCTGTGTATGGAGCTGTGTGGGCCGTGAGTATGTGTGCTTGTGGTGTGCGTTCCTGATATGTATTTGCTGAGTGTGTGCTCAACACTTAACCTTAGTAGGCGAACTGGCCAGACCATAAATGGCGAGTGCTGTGCCAATTGGTGACTATGGAAAATATGGTGGTAACTACATTTTAGTAAGCATCTTGCACACCTTTATAGATGCCATTAGTATAAAATTGACCAACCTATTGCACAGTACAGTGGCCTTTTGTCTATGAAACACCAGAAATGGAACAACTTGTATAACAAGCTGCATACAGCTCATGATGATACTTACACACACAAGAGGTATTATGCAGTGAAAGTTATTATTATGGTCATGTGTGAGATTTCCGTCCTTTCTTCTTCATAGTACATTGGGGACAGTACCACTTTCCCTTTGGAGGTTCCAATATTCCAACACACCCATAGTGGAACCACTCAATCGGACACTATGGAAAGAAGTATAGCAAGCACCTGTATGTACACTGCATATAAAAGGTTACAAGTATATTAAAATCCTGCGAAGTTAAAAAAAGAGGCATATAAGGATGGTAAAAAAGAAAGGGAGACAAGATAGGGATGGGATACATGAAGCATGGTTAAATTAACAGATTTGAGCACGCTGACACCCCTGATCCAATCACACAATCCCTTGTTGCCTGGTGTGCCACTCGTAAACTCCATTTGGACCCTGTAGCATGACTTCATATTGTTGTGGTAACGGTGTTATTTACTCAGTAGCATGACATTATTGTATTTTCAAGCTCTAAATCCTGACTATTGTAATGTTGAATGTTTAATACTTCACCTAGGCAAGAGTATAGGGATTGTGTGATGGGGTCAGTGTGATGTAGTACGCATGCGTAACAAGTTTCATCTCCATGTGTGCTGCTGTTAGGAAGTTTGAACAGTGAAGAAGGGCCTGAAGCTATTTGTTGTTGTTTTGAGGTCGTCATGGAAACTGCCATACACATGCATACCAAGTTTCATCTCCATGGGTGCTACCGTTGACAAGTTTGAGGAGTGAAGTAGTAATATTAAAGAATAGTGCCTGAGGCTATTTGTTGTTGATCAAACAATATTTGGTTGTCATGACGATGTATTACGCATGAGTACCAAAAGCACTGAAGTGCAAACCCTTGGCGCACTGTGACGCCCATGCGTAAGTAAACGCATGCGCCGTACCACTAATTGATGGGCTGGGTTTAGTTTTAGACAGTTACTCGTGGTCTCTTGCCAGCTCACGCAGAGTCTGACGCGGGCTAACTACACCACTAGATAGCATGCGAGAGGAGATACACGCCCTGCGTTGCATGTTCTGGTGCCTCCGATGTACGCAGAGCACGCGTGTCGATCATGCCAGTTGTGTATTTGCAATTGGCTTTTTCGCGCTCTAGCTTTGCAAAGGACCGTTTTCAGAGAAAAAGTTCGAAATTTCTGACCTTCATTGCCCGTCAGTAGGTGGTATCCTTTGTGAGATGAACGAACACTCGAGAAGTGAGATGACGAGTAAGAGACAACACACAGACACACAGACCCAACTACCGTAACCCTCGCTGCGCATACGCGCCGAGGGTTAATCACCCATTAGCATGTTTGCGGAGTAAGGCTTTCAAACAATATGTGGTTGTCATGGGAAAATGTAGTTGTCATGGAAATGATGTGATATGCGTGCCTACCAAGTTTCATACCTATACGTGCTACCATTAGAAAGTTTCAGAAGTGAAGAATTAAAGCAATGTGCCTGAGGCTATTTGTTGTTGTTTACAGTAATAAATATTGTTTACAAACAAATAAGTATGACCAGTCTCTTCAGGTTATGGATATCTACATTCTTCCAAAATTTAATTACTGCATGCTGTTTCGTTTTTGAGTATGGGTGTTGAATCTGAAGACGATGAACAAAACTCCCTATCATGGCCCCATACATCTATGATGGTAGGTACCATACCCATTCCTATACTAAGTACTACCAGTACTTAGTGATATCTGTTCTAATGTTACAAGTTAATTAAAAATCTTGCGAATTTTAAAATGAGGCATATAGGGATGGTATAAAAAGAAAGGGAGACAAGATAGGGATGGGATACATGAAGCATGGTTAATGAACAGACTTGAGTACGCTGACACCCTCAACCCCATCACACAATCCCTATATTGTTGCCTGGTGTGCTACTCTTACAGGGGCTAAAGGTTACTAGCATTCTTTCACCGTGTCCCTGCTTTTAGTAATTCCCTTTAATTAAACTCCACTTGGACTCTATAAGGGTGTTGGTTACTCAGTAGTGTATTGTACGTTCTGAGTATTGTAATGGTGAATGTTTAATACTTCATCTAGGCAACGATATAGGGATTGTGTGATGGGGTTGGGGGTGTCAGTGTACTCAAATCTGTTCATTAACCATGCTTCATGTGCGTATCCCATCGCTATTTTGTCTCCCTTTCTTTTTATATCATCCCTATATGCCTGTCTCCACTCATTTTCATATACTACTACGTATTATCTCTGTGGAAGGGGGCAAGCCCCTATATAATAAAAATGCCTATTGTCGTCATGGAAATGATATGCATACCACGTTTCATCTCCATGTGTGCTGCAGTTAGCAAGTTTGAGGAGTGAAGAAGTAATTTTAAAGAAAAGTGCCTGAGGCTATTTGTTGTTGTGGTCGTCATGGAAACGTTACACACATGCGTCACCACCATGCGTGCTATAGTTAGCAAGTTTTAGGAGAGAAGAAGTAATAAAAGTGCCTGAGGCTATTTGTTGTTGTGGTCGTCATGGAAACGATGTAATACACGTGTGCACCAAGTTTCACCTCCATGCGTGCTACAGTTAGCAAGTTTGATGTAACAGAGTACTGTAATATGCAATCACTATGGTTATTCTATGTTATGCAATCACTGAGCGTGACTGTTCTCGAATGTTGTGTGTGGGTATATAAGTACCGTCATTTTCTGTTGTATGGGGGAAATCATATGATCAAGTTGTGGTGTGTGGTTCGAGCAAGCGCTCTTGGAATATCGGCCACTAATAATACATTGGCGTAGTCGGCAGGATGACTGAGACCGACCCTGGCTGTGGTGGCGGCGCCGTTGGTGGCAGCGGTGGTATGACGGACCCTCCGCCAGTGGCGGGAGAGCGTGGATGCCTAGGGAGCACAGCAGCCCGACCCCTGGTACTCCCGGAACCATTCGACGGCACGGGAAGTTGGAGTGACTGGTGGTTCCATTTTGAAAATGTTTCTGCCGTGAACGGATGGGACGACACACAGAAGCTGCAGTGGCTCCCGGTCCGCCTTACCGGACGCTCTCAAAAGGCGCTGCTTCGTCTTCCAGGGCCTGACAAGACCCGGAAGGCACTGAAGGAGAGATTCGATCCTGAATCAAGACGCACGCGGTACTAGGCAGAGTTCCAGGCGTGGCGGAAGAAGGCTGGGGAGGGGTTGGCCGATTTTGCAGACGAATTACGATCTCTCGCCGACAACGCTCACCCGGATTTACAGGAGGAAGCCCGCGAGCGACTGTCACTGAACTCTTACCTCAGCTAACTGCCACAGCCTCAGATCTCCTTCTCTGTAAGGGAGAAGCAACCAACTACATTAGATGATGCAGTTGCCGCCACTCACGAAATGGAGTCATATCTTTCCTCCTAGTTCCACTCTCCAAGAACCAGGAGAGCCTGCCCCTGCCAGCGTCGATGAGGTGAGCCAGATTACGCAATTGGTACATGTTGTTGGGAGGCTAGCTGAGCAAGTTGAGAAGATGCAACGAGGGAACAGCCAATTGCCGACCACAACGTTGAATAGGGAAGGTCCACGCCCCAGAACGAGGAGGCAATTTTCTGGTACGTGCTGGAACTGTCAGCAGGTGGGACACCTGGCCCGAGACTGCCCCCTGCCTCGGCCCCAGCAACCCCCGGGACAGCAACAGGGAAACGAGACCCCTCCGATACAGCGGACCGAATGTCGGAGGGTGATAAACTCATGGTCCAACCTTCTGTTCATATTTCTCCTGTGACTGGTGGCTACCGACTGACTGGCTCGATCAACGGCACCAACATCAACCTGCTGTTGGACACTGGAGCAGCTGTCACCCTGCTGAGGGAAGATGTCTGGAAACAGTTAGCACCCAAACCCCCTACTCTGGAGCCCTGGCCCTACTGTAGTAAGTGTGGGGGCTTGCCATTGACTGTTCATGGGTGTATATGTGTGAACTTGAAGTTGGGGTAAGGAATTCAAACCTAGAATGGTGGTAGTGAGTCCCCTAACGTCTGAGGCAATCCTGGGCATTGATTTTCTCCCAGGCCAACAGGCCGTCATTGACCTGGGTTGTGGAAGACTCTGCCCCAAAGAGAGTGGGTGTGAAATCCCACTGGACGCCACGCCCCAAACTCTGTTTTGCACGCATTCCCAATCGGCCCGTACCTTTGAAACAGTGGAGGTGCCTCCCTGCTGTGTTATGGAGGTTTCCGCACACCTAGAGACTGCAGTTGAGGGAGTGTGGTTGGTGGAAAGGAATGTGTCTGGGGCATCACAACTTGCCGTGGCTAGAGCTTTGGTCCAACCGACATCGACAACCATACCGGTGTGCATCTTGAACACTTCAGACGAGCCCGCTACCCTATACACAGGAGCTGTCATTGCAGTGCTGGAGCCCATCGAACCACCGGCAGAGGTCGATGCAGTTGTTGACACCACTCCAGAGATCAGTCACGATAAACGAGAGATGCTATGGCAGCTTGTCCAGGATATTCTATTATCTATTACTCGCCTATTCCGATGTGATGGCATCTTCAACTTCAGATCTGGGCCGGACGGACAGGCTTCGTCATCACAGAGACACTGGCAACTCACCACCCATCCGACAACCTGTCCGTCGAATTTCACCACATCGCCGAGAGGAGGTCAGAGAGTTAGCCAGATGCTGGAACGGGGGGGATAGTTGAACCGTCCTCCAGCCCCTGGGCATCTCCCATTCTTCTGGTAAAAAAAATGACAGTTCCGCGTCGTTCCAACGATTCATGGACCTAGTGTTGTCCGGCCTCCAGTGGTCGCAGTGCCTCAACGACATAATTGTTTTAGGTCGGTCATTCGGGGAGCATATCAAGAATCTAGACTCAGTATTCCAGCGACTCCGTCAGTCGGGACTCCGCCTTAAACCATCCAAGCACGCCTTTTTCCGGAAGGAAGTACGATACCTCGACCAAGTCATATCCCGCGACGTGGTTCCCACTGACCCAGACAAGACAGCAAAGGTGGCAACCTGGCCGGAGCCGACCACCAAAAGGGAGACTCGGCAGTTTCTCGGGTTCGCAAGCTATTACAGGCGTTTACTCAGGGACTTTGCCCAAATCGCACGCCCACTTCATCGACTGACGGAGAAGACAGCATGTTCGTCTGAATCCCCGAATGCCAGGATGCCTTCGATAAGTTCCGCGAACATCTCTGCTCTGCACCGGTGCTGGCCTATCCGGACTTTCAGAAGCCCTTCATCCTGGATACCGACGCGAGTAACACGGGGATCGGTGAGGTGCTGTCTCAATTGGATGACGAGGGTTGAGAGTGGGCTATCACCTATGCTAGCCGGTTGCTGACAAAACCAGAACGCCAATACTGCGTCACCCGTCGGGAGCTCTTAGCTGTCGTGACATTTATTCAGCAGTATCGTCATTACCTCATATGCCGCAAGTTTACTCTCCGTACTGACCATGGATCCCTTACTTGCCAGCGAAAGCCGGAGGGCCAGCTCGCCAGGTGATTGGAGAGACTACAAGAGCTAGACTTTGAGGTGGTGCATCGAAAAGGAACTGCTCACAGAAACGCGGACTCACTCTCAAGCCTCCTGTGCCAACAATGTGGCCGCAGCAACCATGACACTGCTACCACTGCTGAGGTGGCAGTGCTAGCACTACAGCTCCCTCCGGCTCCAGCTCCCTACAGCTCCCTCCGGCTCAGGCTAGTGATAGCCTCCGACAAACCCAACTCGCAGACCCGACACTAGACCCCATCCTTCGGGGCAAGGAGAGTGGTACCAGACCTGGTCCTGAGGGCTTTACAACAAGAAGTAAGTCAGCCCGTCGCCTCCTCCACATCTGGGACCAGTTGGTGGTACATAAGGGTGTTCTCTGCTGGCGGCTAAAGCCCATGGGCAGCTCTCCAGAGAGGCTCCAGACAGTGATCCCTGAGGTTTTGCAAGAGGAGGTAATCAAGGACCTCCATGAGGGTGCTGTGAGTGGGCACCTAGGGATCGACAAGACACTGGGACGTCTCAAGGAGCGGTTTTACTGGCCTGGACACCACGACCATGTGAGAGATTGGTGCCGCAAGTGTGCTGCTTGTGCACAGCTGAAGTCTCCAACAACCACCCCACGCGCCCCGCTGAAGCCCATTGTCACTAGCTATCCGTTGCAAATGGTCGCTACCGATATCCTAGGTCCGCTCCCGGAGTCAGCATCGGGGAACTCGTACATTATTGTGGTGGCTGATTACTTCACTCGTTATACAGAGGCATACCCAATCCCTAACCAAGAGGCAACCACGGTCGCTACAAAACTAGTGGACGAGTTCTTCCTTCGATTTTCCCTCCCTGACCAATTGCACTCAGACCAAGGGAGAAATTTCGAGTCAGCAATTATGAGCGAAGTGTGCAAACTGTTCGGAGTCCAAAAGTCGAGGACCACCCCTTACCACCCACAATGCGATGGCCTAGTTGTTTAATTGCACATTATTAGACATGTTAGCCAAGGCTGTAACTGATCGACCATTTGAGTGGGAACAACACCTCCCTCGTCTTTGCCATGCCTACAACACTAGTATCCACCCCATGACAGGATCTTCGCCATTTTCTTGATGTTTGGACGCCAGGCCCACATGCCTGCTGACATCATTCTTGGGACCGCAATGCCAACCCCTACCACAGTCCCACAATACGTCGTAAACCTCAGAAACAGTCTCGAGACGGCTTACCAGTATGTGCGGTGTCAGATGGGGCACAAGCAGGAGAAACAAAAATATCGCTACAATGCCAGAACTCACAGCAAGGCCTTCGATGTTGGCGATCAGGTTTGGTTGCACACTCCAGCAATACCACGTGGAAAGTAGAAAAATCCGTTTATCGGCTCCAGCATATCCAGGCTCCCAGAAAGCTTGTGGTGGTGCACTTTGATTGGCTGAAGCTCTGCTATCCTGGTACGAGACAGCCTGAGATGAGGGAACATCCTCGCAGGCCTCCGCAGTCCCCTCTTGGGGTCCCAGTCGGCACTGGGTTAGAGCTGGTCGATGATGATTCAGGGGAAGCACACTTTACAGGTCGGAGATCCCGCCCACAAGATCTATTCTGCCATCAGGAGGTGAATCCCCTGCTCCGCCGGCCTCTACTCCCCCTGGAGCTAATGACACGTCACCTCACCCCTCAGTGACACCCCAAACCACACCAGTCTCATCACCCCCACCTCGACGACCACCGCCAATGGAGCAGCCACGTCGAAGGTATCCCCAAAGGGATCGTGTGCCCCCAACACGGTATGGAACATACGCATCGTGAATTCGGGACGAATTCTTCAGGAAGAGGGGAGCTATGTAACAGAGTACTGTAATATGCAATCACTATGATTATTATTACTAGGTCCTGTAAGCGTGACTGTTCTCGAATGTTCTGTGTGGGTATATAAGTACCGTCATTTTCTGTTGTATGGGGGAAATCATATGATGAAAATGTGGTGTGTGGTTCGAGCAAGCGCTCTCGGAATATCGGCCACTAATATTACATTTGAGGAGTGAAGAAGTAATTTTAAAGAAAAGTGCCTGAGGCTATTTGTTGTTGTGGTCGTCATGGAAACGATGTAATACACATGCCCCTTCACCTCCATGCGTGCTACAATTAGCAAGTTTGAGGAGTGAATAAAGAAAATTGCCTGAGGCCTTTTCGAACAATATTCGGTTGTCATGTAATCATGATGGAAATGATATAATAGGCATACTTACCAAGTTTCATCTCTGTGTGCTACCAGTTTGAGGAGTGAAGAAGTAAATTTAAAGAAAAGTGCCTGAGGCTATTTGTTCTTGTTTACAAACATGTATTGTGGTAATTTTGATGTTGGTGATTGAATACATTATGTCTACGAAGTTTCGTTCACATAGCTCCTACCATTTGTGAGTCATACTGACACATGTGATCCCATTATAATGTATTGCCTGGGGCTATTTGTTGTTGTTTACAGCAAACACTGTAAACAATGTTGAGAAATAAGTATGACCAGTCTCTTCGGGTGATGGATATCTATATTCTTCCAAAATTTCATGACTTTATGTTATTTTGTTTTTGAGTTATGGGTGTTGAATCTGAAGAAGGAGGAGAAGATGAACAAAACTCCCTATCATTGCCCCATACCAGTGTTCTTCTCAGGATAATTGTAAGGCTTATGTGAAGCAAGCAATGTTTGATTTATCAGGGCAACAGGAGAGTGATGAAGCGCACCCCCTAGGTTTTGAAATTTAGGATATTCTGAGTGTTTCTGGTGCAATCTGGCAAATAATATGGCCTCTTGCCAGGCCTACATAGTCAAGTACATACAAGCTTGATTGGGAATCTCCAGGTAGCTAAACTTCAAGTGTAAATGTGTCAAGGTGGCACCACTGGCTAACACTGTCCCCGCCGCACCGATCCAACGTTGCCGCTGCCACGTGCCACGCATGCCTCCCCATCACTATCAACTATGACCATCCAAGGAAAATCACTAGCCTATCTAGGATCAATACCTGTGTTTCCTATGTTTACTACGCACGGAGCTCTCACAAGTAGCGCCACCTGCAGGCCGCTTCGCCATACTGCTGCCGCGTCAAGCCAAAACCAACACGTGAAATGGGTGTGGCTAAGGATTTACGCGCATGCGCACACGTAAAACCTGCCGCGCGAACGTTTAGCGGCCCATATTCCTTTCGTGGATAACGCATAGCGGAGCGCTAAGCCAAAACGGCCAGGGGAGAACACTGCATACATCTATGATGCTAGGTACCACTTATATACTAAGTACTACCGTACTTAGTGATAGCTCAGTATCTAGTTCACCAGTCACCACTAGGCTGACATCAAGTAGTTGTGTGCAGAACCTAGCCTGTTCATAGTGCACCATAACATTCTGAGATGAATGCTAGCTCATCACCAGTTGCCAATCACTGATGCACAAGACATGCTTGGGCAAATTCTAATCAAATAGGTTTAGTCGAAAGAAAAACATGTTGACGGTATATTCGGTAAGCAAAAAGCAACTGCTTACCTCATACACCACTGAAATGGGTGGCAGCTACCATTAGATAGCATACCCCAAAGGGCACACTCGACTCCATTTGTAATATTGACCTAGCTATACAGTCCACTTTACTTACCTCTGCATTATCACAGCCAACCATTTCTCCATAAGAGACCTGAAAACAAAACGAGAGGATAAGGTTTATATATCCACAAAATCATAGTACCACTCAACAATACTGCATTAAATTTAGCAAGCAACTATTATACAGCAACCTACAACATGAGTTGGTTCAGCTACGCCACCAGCCCGAGCTAGCTAAGGCGTGCTACGACTTAGAGTCTAATGTAATACAGATCACACTGAGTGGGTGTTAACTAAGACAGACGATGGAAGACAAGAGGCAATAACAGCTTCCACAGAGGTTTTGAAGATAATAATGCCCCTCGATGCAAAACCAACTCCAGTTGCATGACAAGTAACAGATAGTGCATGCACAGAAGGCAAATGTTAATTGATGGGCCAGGCCTCATCACGCGGTCCAACTTTCACAGTTTCTTGTGCTCCTTATAGGGCAGCCCATCTACAGAGCGTTGAGCTGGGGCATTGCTGCCTTTTTTACTACACCACAACTCTCAAATGTTTTCCAGAAATAGCCTTTTACTACGAAAAGGACAGAAATCCTGTAGTTGGCCTCATTTTGTGTGTATGTGGTACAGTTTCTTGTGCACCAGTTGGTAGAGTTTTAGGGCGACACTTGACCAAATGGTATATAGTCCCTCTACAGCGTGCATTGCTGGCTATTTAACTACACCACGACTCTCGAATGTGTTCTAGAAATAGCCTATTACTACCAAGAACGGCAATCCTGTAGTTGGCCTCATTTTGTAGTATGTGGTACAATTTCTTGTGCACCAGTTGGTAGCGTTTTAGGGCGACATTTGACCAAATGGTAGTCCCTCTACAGAGCGCATTGCTGGTGTTTTTTACTACACCACGACTCTCGAATGTGTTCTGGAAATAGCCTATTACTACCAAGGACGGCAATCCTGTAGTTGGCCTCATTTTGTATGTTTTTCTCGCTGAACCATCGGTTTGAACTTTGAATGGGTAAGTTAATTAGTGCCACACATACACAAAACATGTACTCGCTCTGCATGTGTGATGCTTGACAGTAAGCACACCTTCAGGTAAAATTCATGCCTCCACTTTGCTCTGCAAATCATTGCACATGAAACTCTCGAACGCTTCTGTTTATGTACCCCTGAGCCCATTCATTGTACAAAATGGTGGTACGTGGTCATAAGCATGCGTCTCAAGGAAAACATGCATGCTCATGACCACTAACCTTAAATGGTGGTACGTCGCAACACCAAATCTGGCTTAACAACACAAGTATCATAAGTGCATGTCTACCCAAGCGTTAGAGGAGCAATGCCCACGAGGTTTCTTACTTTGTGGCCTCACTGACGCTTACATCAACTGGTGTACAAGTGTCAAAAGCTAGTAATGTAGGCTTAGTTTGTTTCTTTTGGCTGGTTATGCTCGTCTGGAGCAACACAGCACATGAGGCCAAGTGCATTGTGGAGTACTTCTCATGCCTAGTGTAGTAGATTCAGGTTTGCTTTGAACTTGCTTTTTTTAATGCACAACTTAGCATGAAGTTTCGGTGTCTTTGATGGGTGTTTGACATAGTGAATCTGGGGTATTTTGCAGTAGACTTTGAGCCCTTCTGTCTCAGCTGCCCTGGTAGCCCAGGTTGTAGAGGACTCTGCCTAGACTGTAGAGTGTTGTGGCTTTGAGTATCACCCATTATAGTTTTTTTCCTTGCAATAATTCTTGTCCTTAGTCTTTGTGATATGTTTGATTTGCAGGCGCTTTGCTTCCATACATGTTGCTTATGATTCATAAAGTAAATAGAGGCTAGAGAGGGTAAAACGCTGCAGGACTGATCAGCAATGCCAACTAGAAGAGTCCATGATAGGGTTAGCAATGCTGATACTCTTGAATACCTGGTTCTCTGACAGCCTACCTTTCACGGGTTTAAAGCTTGGATGGAGGAAGGGCCTAGGACAACGCTAAAGACAAAGACAAGAGGTAGTGTTCATGGAACGGCTAACACTAGTGACATGAGATAGGCCAAGTTTTTTAGGCAGTTGCTGGAGTTTGATAACATGAGTGCAGACACCCCAACATTTACGCATGGTCAATTGACAAGAGATTATCTACAATTGGCACTTATGTCTCGCATATTTCATGAGGAAACACTGCCTGAGTAGAAGGACCACTGGCTTAAAGGACAAAAATATCTAAAGGAGACAACAGACCAACTCCATCTTATATAAACAGTGGTCCAATCAGACAGAATTGAAAATACAAGTTGCTCTGCCAAACCAAATCTCCCGTGGCAAAATCCCTTGCAGTGCCGAACTCCAAGTTGGGACTGTTAAACATAACCGGGATATAATACATCATTTTGCCACTCTTCATGTAAAACCGTATTGGAAAAGCTCCTTTGCTGTGGCACCAAGAGTGCCATTGTACGTTTTTGTCCGCAATTATGGCGGCAAGTTTCCCGTACAAGGTAAGACTGTCAGTTGAACCATGCACAGGGATGCTGGGCCAGACCCTTTATCACGTGAAAAGTGGTACAAGCACCATCTACCTTTCCGGAGGTTGCTGAGGAATGGCAGCCTAAGCTAATCGGCCACCAACAGTGCAATATTCAAGTGCCAACCCCAAGCATATCTGGTGCTGACATAGCTCTTTCTTTCCAACTCCTGCATGCGATTGTAATGTATAATACCTGAGGTCATACTACGGGAGTATTGTCACACAAAAACCTGCAATAGCTCGGTTGTTCACATCAAAGGACTTCATGCAATTCTGACGTGAGTAGTGACTTGAAATATGTCCCGGTTTGCGACGTGTGCTAAGGGGAATTGTCTGATTTTGAGGCTCTGATTTTTTAAAAGTAAAGTTATATTGATGTTTCAGATACCTTATTTGATAGCATGCTTAATTTATAGGAATTTTGGATATGGCGTGAAAAGTAAGTGAACAAGCCAATATGCAAATTAGCACAGGCTTACCTCGACTGGGTCCGCTTGCTCTGAGGCACAAGAAGTCAAAACGAAGGGCGTGTATTGATGGGCTGGTTTAGTTTTAGCTGCAGAGTCTGACGCGGGCTAACTACACTACTAGATAGCATGCGATAGGCGATACACGCCCTGCGTTGCATCTTCTGGTGCCTCCAAGGTATGCAGAGCACGTGGATCGATCAGACCGTGGTAAGCCACCCGTCCGTTGTGTATTTGCATATTGGCATTTTCGCGCTCTAGCTTTGCAACTGCGCAGTTTCAGAGAAAACCGTTGGAACTTTCTGACCTTCATTGCCCGTTAAGTAGGTAGTATCCTTTGTGAGACGAACAAACACCCGAGGAGTGAAATGTAGAGCAACAGACACACACACACACAGACAGACCCAACTACTGTACCCTCGCTGCGCATGCGTGCCGAGGGTAATGAGTAACAACAAAGCTGCACCTCTTCTTTCCCTGCCGGTGGCACGTAGGCAGGCAGCGAAGATATCATGCGCCGGTTTCTAACGCAATGACCACTGACAGGTTAAAAGGACTAACTTTTGTCTGGGGGGTGTGGCTTAGAGGTTACTGTGAAAGTACACTGTGGCACAGTTCTCTTCTTGCTACATGCCTGCGTACATGAAACGTATCTATTTGAAAGGACTTCCATCACACTGCACCCATATTACATACCTGATTACACAAGCAATATCTTGGTTCATTAGGGTCCACATATTCCAACCACTCTGCACTCTCTTGGCCAGAGTCTGAAACCAGTAACGACTGCTGTAAAGCATTCCTATATTCCAAGATGGTTTGTTGTGGAAAACGACAATACAATATTTAGTGTAAAACATACTTTAAAACACCAACCCTCCTCCTCATATGAATTCTACTGATAGTAGGGATGAAATTTACACAATTGTATAAAAAAACAAGGTGCCATAAGGAGAGGCCAGTATAGCTAGACAACAAGGGCTTGTAGTTTCTACCCATAACTCACTTGGATTCATCCGTATAAAGAGTTAATAGGCCTATTGCACGCAATGATAAAGGAAATTATTTAGTGCAAGAGTGAATGTCTTGAATGCACAGTGGCTGGTCGTAAAACAGCATGTAATGCACAGAAAGCACAGGTAATTGATGCACCAGACCTCACGGTCGATGTAATTTTCTTTCGCTTACACCGGCTAGCTAGATAACACTAAACAGAATGCGTGAACGTTTGTGTATGGTGGGCTGAAGTGGTGGAGGTAAGCCATTATTCATTTGCCTTTCGTTTAGAATGTGCCTTCATCACATTGAAGCTGTTTGTGTCCCTCTTTTGCAGGCTTGTGCTAACTTGATAAACACACAGTAGTGCAATGCTCACTGTGCGAAGTGATAATTGTGCAATGTTGCAGAGTGTGATGAGACCCACAGACAGATTGGTTAGTAACATAGTGGCTGAGGAGCTCCAGCCAAAATGTTACAAAACAGGCGTGGTAACTAAGGGAAATGCTTTTCATAAGGCTTATAGCAAAAAGTGAACAACGATTACTCTAGTAATGCCAATCCATGAAATCTACGCTTATTGAAAGTGATGAGGGCTTTTGTATCGCACAAGATGCTACTCCAAAATACTAATGGACAAGTTACCTCACCCACATACTAATCAATGCATGCTTCCTTTTTACCCATGCACTGACAGTTAGACCACTCATTGGAAAATACACTACAGCACCTAAACAATTTGAAGAGCGCACTTGTATGCATCCGAAAGAGATAATATTAAACATTATATGCATGGATCATTTAGCTTCATGGAGGTCACAAAGCACACAACAAATAATGTAGTCTTACTTCTTTCTGTGAGCCTTGGTTTCCAGGTGAAATGGCAGGAGAGGCTTTCCACCTGACCCAGTGTAAAGTTCAGATGGGGGAGTTAAGTGATCATCAAAATCAAGAAAATCCACCTCATCAGCAAAGGCTGTGGTCACTTTCTCCCGCCTAGATAATACGAAAGAAACAAATTATAAGCAGGGGCAAGAGTAAATGGGCCAGTGGCGTCGTCTAGAGGTCTTCCCTCTGCAGTAGTAAAATGGAATGCCATCAAAAGCATCTGCGTAATTTTCAAAAGATACACTAGATTGTTTCCTGATGAAAAGCTTGTGTAAGCATATGACTGGACAGGCACCAGTCAGCATCCAGGAGGGGGGGGGGTCTGACCGTAATTCAGCAAAGAGTAATGAGCCATGAAAGGTATTACCAGCTGCAAATACGATTAACCCTTGGCACGCATGCGCAGTAAGGGTTACGGTACTTGGTTTGTGAGTGTGTCTTTCTGTCTGTCTGTCTGTTTTCAAGTTTTCTGTCACCACACGCAAGAAATCGTCCAGAGAGCCATTTAGTAATATATTTTTCTTGACTTCCACAGATTATCACATGCTGCTTTACCTGACACAGATGGGTTCACATAAATTTGCCTCAGCCACTTTCCTAAAACCCTACACAATGCCACCCCTCCCTTTTAGGTCCTATGTGAAGACAAAACCCTTGCATTCTATTTTCATAGGAACATCGTTTAATACATATATTCTGGATAATGGCAGGAGTTAAACAGGCTCTTTTTAATACGCTAATAAGTCAAAATGCTACTCTAGTACACAAAGATGAGGTATTAACACTTAACCAGCCATGGACACATGAATGTGTCCGGAGCCTCCATAAGTCCATAACAATTGATATGGGGTTATAAAACTAGGCGCTAATACTTTATACATAAAATTCTGCTTATTTAAGAAGATACCCATGGCGTCCAAAGGGTTAAACGAGGCTAGTTAACCCTTGGCGCTACCACGTTTTCTGCCACCACGCGCAACGAGACAACAAACTAGCGATACCAAAAGGTTCATCGCTACACTGGCAATTTTGGCGAAAATTTGTATTGCGTTCGACAGCTATGGCATGAAAACATAGTGATAAAGCCAATATGCAAATTAGCACAGGTTTACCTCGACTAGATCCACTTTCTCTGCGTAACCAGAAGTTGAAACATGGGGTGAGTTATGACTCACGCATGCTATCTAGTAGACTCAGCGAGCTGGCATGAGAATATGAGTTAGCTGTGAGTAGCACATAGCCAAGCCCATCAATTAGCTGTAACTCGCATGCGTATACACTTACGCACGTTTGTAGTGCACCAAGGGTTAACAGTTTAGTGCTTTTAATTTTTTGGCACAGTATGTAGCCTTCTAGGAAAGTGCTCAGGTACATACTTATTGCTATTCACAACTGGATCTGCTTACATGAAGAAGTATTCAATCAAGACAGAGAGAATGAAATTATCTAACACTGCCCCCTTCCTCAAATACAGCATGCTGTAGTCCCTTGATTAGCAGCTCTGTTTCTTTGGGAAGGGTTAACAACTAGAGTTACATGATAGGTTCAGGTGTGTATGTTTCAAGCATTACTTGGCATTTTTCTGATATTCTGAATCTCGGACATGTTTAAACAATCCAAGACTTCCAGTGTAGTACAACGTCCAACACTATTTAGTTGTGCATTGGCATGGAGAGTCTCCATGAGTGGCAGGCAAACTATAATAGGCATGGGTAACGGCACGTAAAGTTTCCACCAACTTCGAGAACTTTAGAGGTCTGTTAGATGGTATTGGGGACGTTCGGAGGGAGGGAGTTGGACTGTAGTCTTCAAAGTCTCCAGTTAGAATATCATCTTGGAGAAGTGCTGTATGACGTGTTCTCTCTGAAATAGCAGAATGTAGTAAACTTTAACTGAGTATGCGTTCATAACTGAATGCAATATACACTGTGTAGGTTAGCTATAGCTTAACACCTATCATGGTACGGTAGTACTTATGGATGGGCATGGTACCTAACATCATAGATGTCTTTTTCAAATATAAATTAGATACAGCCATGAAAAATGGTAGTAATGTAGATATCCATAACAGGATTACACTTATTAATCCTTGGCGCGCACGCACAGCGAGGCTTACCTTACTTGGTTCGTGAGTGTGTCAGTCTGCCAGTCTGTCTGTTACCACGTTTTCTGCCACAAAGAGCAAGAAATTGGCCAAAGAGCGATACTAACGGGTTCATTGCCACACCAGCTTAATTTTTTTTATAAAGGCGATTTCCATAAAAGTACTGCGTTCAAAGGTTATGGCGTGAAAACGAAGTGATATGTTATTACCACTGGCTTACCTGTACCGCGGATGCGTCAGAATTTACAACGGAGGGAGTCTCGCGATGCCTAAAACACTATTCCCATGTTCAGACTCTCAGAGAGTTAGCCAAGTACTGACCGGCGCATGCAATGCGTATCCACGCGCGTCTAGTGTGCTTAAGGTTTGCACTGGGTGCTTTTCATTTCTTTGTAAACAATGCTGTAAACAAAAAAAAATAGCCTAAACATTATAGTGGGGCCACTTGCGTTAGTGTAATTCACAAATGGTTAGAGCTACGTATGTATTACACTCTGCATACCGGGATCAACAATACATGTTTGTAAACGAGAATATCAATACCTAATGCCACCACACATTAAGATATTACCACAGATTGTTTCAACAACAATCAAGTGCTGTAGGCACTCTTCTGACTTCTCCTTTAAAATAGGAGAGGAGATAACATGAGAGAAGTAAATAATCCTGTAACTTGAAAAGAGGAATATAAGGGATGGTATAAAAGAAAGGGAGACAAGATAGGGATGGAATACATGGTTAACGAACGAATGTGAGCATGCTGGCACCCACTGACCCTATCACACACTCTCCATATTAGGTGAAGATAATTTAGGGACCTATAGCTTGGGAAAAAAACAGAGTGGAGAAGTCTTAAGTCGAACTACAGATGCACGTGACATTGACTGGCCTCAGATTGGGTGGGTGTGGTTTGTCTTTGCTTTTACACCTCAGTGACACATGCATGGGTCGGTATTGGGCTGGGCTATTACTAGTGGTTTCTCCCTGGGGTAGCTACACAGCTGTATCTTATCAGCACCGCTTTCTCTCTGAAGAGTTCGGTACTCGTACATGAAGTCTAACTTTTGGTCTCAGCAGCGATGGCCAGTGAGTCAGATTCTGGAGCATACCTGACCTGACCTTAATGGTGGAGCTTGCAGGCATGCAGTTAGTATACAGGGCCCCACATGAGCAGGGTGCTAGAAGGAAGTTGTAGCGGAAGCCACTCCCCACTACTGTCACTGCAGCGCGCCATGGCGCAGGCCTTGACTGCGCGCCTCTTCTCTCTATGCTCTAACTATGCACGCATTCTCACCTGTTGCAGGCATCGGAAACCCTGTGGTTATCAATGCGCTGCAGCACATTGCAACTATCTCAACAGGCAGCGCAAACACCTCAATATCTCCCCTCCCAAACTGCGCAGCCGCAAGGTGTAACAGGTGCTGGATTGGGTGCAGCTCCCTCAGCACGTTATGGCAATCGCAGCGCAACCTCCCATCCGCTCTAGAGCAACCAGACGTAGTCGATGACTATCTCCGGCCCATTCCCCACCGAGACTTGAGTGGGCCATGTCAGCAGGTTTTGAGTGATTCCCAAATCCCATCAGCCCAATAAATGGTGTCTCATTTTGAATTGTCTAGCCCAAGAGGACACAGCATGAATGATGGAATCCCAAAGGAGCTTTGCTCAATCTCCTATGTCTCAGTTGATGACTCAGTGTGTTAGGTACTAGACAGTGGCCCAGGCTCCCTGCTGACAAAATAGATAAAAAGAGTGCATTTCGCCTTATCCCTGTGCACCCAGCAGATGGCTATATCGTGGAGAGGTGCTCTCTAAATCGGCACGTGCCTACCCTCTGGCCTATGGTCAGCTCCTCGACACTTTAATCTTGCTGATGAACGCTTAGAATGAATCTACTCTGAAGTTATGCAAAAGCGCTACCTGTAATTTTGCAATCTGGCATCTTGATCCCCTCTGCCCACTTCTGAAGACACATTGTTTCTGTTCGTTGGCCATCTGGCACAACATGGTCTTTCGCGTGCATCAATCAAGGTTTACCTGTAAACTGTGTGCGACCTCCACGGGCTTCACGAAGAATTTTCTAAGCATCTCACAGCACCGGTGCTGAAAGGATTAAAAAAAGAGTCTGCCCCCAGGTGTTCGCGACTTCCCATCACATTGGACGTCATGGAAGCAAGTCTTTCTTCAGGACCCCGATAACGTCATGTGGACAGCTTGTTGTACAGTATTCTTTGGCTTCCTATGCTGCAGTAAGTTTACAATTCCATCCCAAGCCACCTTCGACCAAGAAGTTCACCTGTCACTAGCTGATATTGCAGTGGAACAACAAGCTATACCAACAGTGGTGCAATCCAACACTGACCCATTCCGACAGGGGGTCCAGTTATATTTGGTGAAGATGGACACAGCCGTTAAGACAATGTTGGCATATCTGACCACGAGGGATGCCATCCCTGGTCCATTATTCAATCTGGCCAACAATCAGGCACAACAGGAGTGCAACTACCAAGATCGTTGACAGCAGCCAACCTACAGCTTTAGGATTGGCGCATGGATAAGGAAGCAGGGTTATCTGACACGCACATTGGACGATTGGACGCTGGAAGAGCGATGCATACCAGCTCCATGTGTGCACCCCCAAAGGAACACCTAGAAAGACTCTCAAGGCAGCTTGCCACCACAGGGAAATATGTGTAGCGCATGCAATGAGTCCACTAGCAGGACAGGTAGCTACTCCTTTCATGGTTCATACTGTATGTCTTTTTAAATTATTATTTTCATGGTTGGTTTCTCTTTCTCAATACCCCGTTAACAATGTCTCTAATACAGCTTGGAGGAAAGATGTGGATGGCTTCGCCCCGCACCTTTCTATGGCAGCTAATTTGCAACCCAAATTAACCCCTCCAAGCTCATTAGGTGGTATTCCCCGGGTCAAGGTAAAGCTAAGTAATACGTAACCCCCAGTTAAAACGGGTAATTTAACTGGCGCGAGGTGACCCTGTACAACTACAACAACCCCTTCCTTCGAATGAAGAAAAGGGGGCGGTTGGCTGTTAAAGTATTATGCAAACACAATTAAATGAGGTTCTACAAAGCTCTTTGGGGCCAAAAGCCACTGGAGTGGCTTTTTACGTAGAAAACGCGGAGTACAAATGTAACGCGTTGCGTGAGTAGCGTGTGCACCCGCTTTCCTTCTCTTTCTCTGGGATAAAGCTCTCCTATGCAACTGACCGCCTTTCTGCGACATTCTTTTTCAACGCTAATGCACAAATAGAGTATGCCATGCCTTCTGGTACTTGAGGGCGCGACGTGCGTGCGGTGCGTGCAGTCCGTACGCACGAACCGCGCAGACTCGCAGGATCTGAGATACTCCCCCATTTTAGCCCACGCAACTCAGCAAACGCCGCCAGGAAGTTCAGCACTAACACGGAAACAAGTTTTTCAGTGGTGAAAATGAGCATTCCGGCTTTTTGCAATAAATTGGGCCCCAAAGAGTTTTAATTAAACCAAGTTAGTGGTGGAGCTTGCAGGCACACAGCGAGTATAAAGGGACCCCCATGAGCAGGGTGCTAGAAGGAAGTTGTAGCGGAAACCCAGCTGATGCGGCACTCATGCAGCTCATGCGCAGTCTGATGATTAGCCACGTGCTGCTGCAAAGGTAGTCGCCATTTGGGCATCCGGACAGTAAACAGCAAGTCAGGCAGAGAGAAGTCTAACATAACCCCCTGTTCAAACGGGTAATTTAACTGGCGCCGGGTGACCCTGTACACCACAACCCCTTCCTTCAGATGAAGAAAAGGGGGCAGCTGGCTGTTGAAGTATTATGCGAACACCAATGAAGTGTGCATACCCAAATGAAAACTGGGTACCCACATAAAAAGTGTATGCATTGCGACCCTCTTGAATGCAGGTGTGCGTAATGTTGACTCTAATCTTCCGCCATAGCTCCGCTCTGCCACGAGCAGTATACGGCCATTGGTTAATGCCGGTGTACAAGTTCACCAGCGTCAGCAATATTCAGTGGCGGTTGCGGGTAGTACGAATGTCGGAAGCTTTCATTTGTATTGCTTTTAGGCTAACAATGCATTTTAATACTGTTACGCAATACTCCATGAATGTTAAAGGCCATGCAACTGGTGCATGAGAAAGTGTTGCACTGTAACTTAACGTTTTAAGGGTATGAGCATTATAGGCCAAAAACATGTTGTAAATACTGAGGTACACACTTGTACTTACTCTGTCCAAGTGGTGGTCTTTCTGGTGATGGTGGTCTATCTAGCATGTAGGATCCTGCAGATGAAGAGCAAATTACTGCAGCAATCCCACTTAGAGTCAATTTAAACTTGGGACAGTAAGTATGCTTTACGCACTTATGCATCTGTCATTACAGCACTGTGCCATAGCACAGTGGTTTGAGGACTACCTTTGTGCTGTAGATTCCAACCCCGAACAGTTGAGTTGCCCAGTTGGTAGAGAGCTCGCCTTGACTGCAGAGTGTCGTGGGTTTGAATCCCACCCAGGGCAGCTCTTCTTTTCTTTGAAAAGAAAGAGCTGTTCTGGGTGTAAGTCGACTTGTTTGCCTTGCCTTGCCTCTGCACCTTGCTACCAAGTTGTTGAGACATACTATTGCAAACATGCTTTTCACTGGGGAGATAAACACGTTGGGTACCATTTATGACCGTGCATTGGACAAGGTCTAGTTACAGACCAACTAGCACTTGTGCCAGGGACAGAAACACCATTTTCGTTTTTTTAAGTGACACGTTCCATCTCACAACCATTTTAGCACCATGCGTGGGGGGTATCAAAGGCGCCGACAGCACCATATATGCCTTATTGGTACGATCGTACTACATTTTCCTGCGGTTGGAAAACACAGAACGGTTACGCCAGAACAGCAAGGTAAGTGCTCGAAAAGTAGCAGGGATATATTTACAGCTCTCTAGATGCACCAGACTCAACTACCTCCACAGCAAGGCGTGGGGAAAACACGGCGCTGTGCACACTTAACAATTTCCGGGTGCAGAATGGTCCCCATGGTCGGTCGTCCTTGCTTATCTACCAGTGTTCGTGCACGACCAATAGATATGTGAGACTTGAGCCGCCCAGTTGTACTACAAACCAGTTAAAGAACCGGTTACGCTTGTATACTACGGAAATTATTGAACTCGGATGTGGTCTCGAACCCTGAACCCTAATCAGCTTCTCAACCACATCCTCATTCAATAATTCAGAAATAGGATCATGGGTAGAAGTAATTGGTAGTGGTGATAAAGGCAAGCTGTGTCCGTAACTCTTCTAAAATCCTCTATAAAGGCAATTACAAGTAGTAGTAGGAGTTGTAGCCCAGCATTTAGCGATGGTAAGTGGCATCTCCTTAGCAATGGTTAGCCTCATTTTAAGGTTGCTGAAGGACTGCTGTCTCAAAACACCAAGAGACCAACAGTGAACTTGCTTTATTCCCAATTGGTGCACTTACTGGTTGTAACACATTACGATGGATGGCACACATGAATTGCATAACCATTGAAGAAAGAAAACAGACAATCGTTACGGAAAATAATGTGGAGCTATAATGAAAAAGGCCAGTTTAGAGGATGTAACATGCGCCCTGATAGCAGAAAACAGTAAAACTGAAAGACGGAAATACTGCAATTTCATGCTCTATGTCAGGTAACAGATGTGTCTGTTATCATCAACATTATCAGCAAAAGACTTTACAGGGATCTTTTTCACTCTCAGCTTCTTTTCAATCCCCGACCCAACATGAACTATGAATTATTGTGGTGGTTGATCTCAGGTAGTCAAAGGCTGAAATGATAACACTGGGTTGTTTCATCGCAGAGAGTGTTGTGTCCACTTTGATATCATTCACTTGTTTACCGTCATCCATCTGCTTTGAAATCTGTACTGAATGCCAACACTAAACCTTAGACCTACATGGTACCATCTGGTATTATGATGGGAGTCATCACTGTCAGTGTGAAGAAAGTGTCTAACGAGAGCCATTGGTCCTCCTTTAGGTCAAGTTAATTGCGAGTAGATACAATGCAATTGCGATGTTGTTGCTCAGTGGGAGAGTGTCAGACGCCAAAAGCTTCCAAGCAATTAATTTGTTTACAGCTATAAAAGGCAGATGTTTCCTTTCGTGGCGGATAAGACAAAATCTACTTACCTAACCCAAGAAATGTAAATACCAATCCCCAAAAAATTACCTTGATAAATACTTCAAGTAATCCTTTATCCTTACTTTGTTCTAAAATTTCAGTAATTCCAGCTGTGTCTGCCTCCAGCTCAATAGTGAATCTGTTGAGATCATGCTCCAGTCGACGCATGTGACGCTCAAGCTGCAGAACACAATTAAAAAGGCAAAAAATAAAGACATGAAATGTGAGCTGTGCAACATATAAACTAAGTAGTAATTAAGGTGCTGTTGTGAGTATTCTTAATGGCATCCTCGTTCCATAGTGTCCAAGTGTAAATGGTATTTGAACCGGTTTGTAGTACAACTGGATGGCTAAAGTATCGGTTTACAGTAGCTGCTGCTGATGGCGCACAGACATTGGTAGACTTAAAAAGTCGAGTAGGCAAAAAGGACCTACCGTGGGGACTGTTCCGCATGCAGACATCGTAAGTGTGCACAAATTAAAGAGAGCCTCGCTTTTCAGGGTGCTTGGTGTAGGTAGTGGAGACGAAGGTAGTCTAGCGCATAAATAACTAGAGAGAGCTGTACTTTTCAAATGCTTACCCTGCTGTTCTGACATGAAAATTAAAAACGTACAGGAAAATGTGAAACTGTCGTTCGCAACATAGATTTTATAGGAGGGTCAGCGTCTTTAATACACCAACATACAACATACTACAAATCGAAATATGTGAACACTATGCCCATTTCCAGTGACTGCCCAATTTGACTATATACACAGATTTAAAATAATATCTGATACTTTAATACTTGTATACTAATTATGGGGATTGGCTACAAACCAGAGATCGTCGACAGACTTCTCGCAGCTACTACGGCGCGATGAACGTGAAGCCACGTCTACTACAAGTGCTGCTTTAGCTATGCTCAGAAGTCGTTTTCTGCACAAACCGATCGCTTCCGCATGTGGTAAGAGTAGGAGGCGGGTCTGCTAAAGCAGCAGTTGTAGTAGACACGGCTCCACGTTCATCGAGCGTAGTAGCTGCGAGAAGTCTGTCGACCATCTCCGGAGTCAGACACCATGTCCAGTTTCTCGTTCGGAAAAAATCATCATGCTCTTAGCACAACTCGAACAGGTGAAGCGCTGCGTTGTTCCGTTGCTATCCATTTGAATGCGCACCATCCAATCAGATTGTCCAGTCCAAACCGGATAGATGCGAAAGCTCGGTATCCACGCAACGTTGCCTCAGGGCCTGTGGGTAGCGCCCTCGCTATGCTCGGGACGCCACATTACACAGCCCGCTCGGATTGCAATGCAGTGTAGACACCTCCTTCTACGTCTAACTTACTGCTTTGCACATAGACTGAAACTTGGCATTTTGGCCCATTACTTAGCCATACTACATGCTGTGCACCTGAGAAACATACCAAAATGATCAGCAATATTATCTTATCAAAGTGATCAAATTATTAGCCTTACCCCCAGGGACTTCCAAAACCACTGTTTTCGCACATAGTCCACATATTAAAGGTGAGTAGTGAAATATTTCTGGCCTCAAAGATGCACCAGTAGACTATGGTTGTGCCTAGCCAGTTTCAAGTCTTAACTCCCAGCTTTGCGGAAATAATCAGCCTAACCGATATCCTGAATGACCTTTATTTGCCCTTCACCATGGGAGCACTGGCTGTTAGCTTCGGTAACCTCGTGGATCATCACTTCCTCGTAGTTGGTCGTGAAATTCACGGGTAGCTTTGTCATGGCCATTTCTCATGTAGAAGGAATGTAAAAATGATTACATAATTGCATTCAACTTCCACAAGTCGTTGATGGTAGGCAGACCAGATCCTCTCCTCTATAATATGTGAGAGGATGTGGCAATGCCAAACTATATGCGCCACGCCCGAGTAAAGTGTTTGGACTCCGCCGGAATATTATTGGAACATGGATTCCGCCCGTCCCTCCTGCCCGGGGTATCTCCTGTCTTCAGTGAGCAGAGCCATTACACACCTTGCTTTTGATGCATGGTGGGTGGAGCTTCAACACCAACCCGATAATCTTGATATTTAAGGGTGGTTCCCGTCTACTGTCCCGTCTCGAAATCACCATAAGTGCTGCTAGGGTTGCTATAGGGAGGGGAATTATACGTGGACAGAGGACAGCTCACAAGCTTTTCACTACCCGGGCCTAGAGGCACAGTGTCACGGATGCCAACCACTACCTATGTACATGATTATTTAGTAATGCTGTGGTAAAAGCCCAGAATACACCCCTGCAAGCTGGGGTGGCCATTGCAGACTTCAAGGTTGAAGTCTTGAGATGATTGATGTTTCACCACTGGTTCTATGTCAATAAAGAGTTTCAATCTGACTTGCGCCGGTGGTTAGTACTTCTGGAGGTATTGAACAGTGTTCCATGGTGGTGCGCTGGAAACCATTGGCTGTATATCACCTCAGATGCTCGGGGCTGTGTTGCCTACTCTGACACAGGAACCTGGTTTCAGTTCCAATGGCTGGAAGAATGGTCACGGTATCCATATTACTATGAAAAGCACTTAAGTGCAAACCCTCGGTGAAGTGCGCATGTGTGGTACTGCTAATTGATAGGCTGGACTATTAGTAGCAGTGTGTTTGCTCGTAGTCTCCCACTAGTAGCTCGCTGAGAGTCTGACACGGGCTAGCTACAGTAGTAGATTGCATGCGGAAGTCGATACACGCCCTTCGTTGTGACTTCTTGTGCCTTCAAGATACACAGAGCAAGCAGACCCGGTCGAAGAGAGTTTTTCATCGAAAATCCTAAGGGCCGCTTTGGCAAAACGGACATTAATACTGGTGATAAATTTTGCATTGGCCCTGCTCCAATGAAAGGAGTGGAGGACAGCAGGATAAAGACTTTGGACAGGTGGGAGAGAGTGGTGTGCTTGGAGTACGTTTGCCGCTTACGTGTTCGGTTTTCGACCAGATTCGGAGCGTTCCCATAACCGGTTATATCAATGTTCTAGCTGCCCCCACAGGCTTACCTTTCGGTGTGTTCCTCTCTCAGTTGGTGCCAGTGTGTTCTGTATTGGATTAGCTTACCTTGGGCAGTGAATTGAGAAGAGTAACGCCACCAACAATTGCTCCCCTCACAAAACATGTCTTCAGGCATGAAACTGGAGGGGAAAGCCTGCATCCCTCGACTGCGAAACCGGCACAAGCGCAGGTGTATGTTTCCGGGGTTATCGACGGAAATTGAGAGACGTTATAAAATAACTCTATGACAAAATGATAGCTGTCGTAATCTCACCAGATCATAAACTTGAGTGGCTAGCTTGACCTTTTCTTGAGACTCTTTCACAGTTTTATCATACTCCTATATATTACAATTATGAAAGTCATACATTCTTGCATTGAGTAATTTATATATAAACCTTGCATAGCTGCTGATACTGATGGTCCCTTAAAGCACTCTTGTCTTTCCGACAGAGGGTAAAAAATGTCTTGGTTTTGTCGCTGATACTGTGTAACTGTGCTAAAAAACACACAAGGAAGAAAAATGCTCTAAGGTTTCATGACAAGGATAACATGGGACATTTTGTGCATTAAGATTTTAAAATGCTGTTGAATTTGGGACTATCCACATTATATGAACGTATATTTAGTTTTTCTTGGCATTTTAGATAAAGTAGTGGTCAGCACATAGCGTGGCAACACTATAAAGCGCTTAATAGCATAAAGAATGACTATTGATGGAGAATAAAGCCCCAACCCCCACACACACACCCAGAGACACCATCCTTTATCTTTAAGAAACTATATGTACACGATCACATATACTGTACCCCAGTTAAGAAAGAATGAAAAGCACTGAAGTGCAAACCCTCGGCGCATTGTGACGCGCACGCGTAAGTAAACACATGCGCCGTACCACTAATTGATGGGCTGGGTTTAGTTTTAGCTGTTGCTCGTGGTCTCTTGCCAGCTCGCGCAGTCTGACACGGGCTGCATGCGAGAGGCGATACACGCCCTGCGTTGCATCTTCTGGTGCCTCCGAGGTACACAGAGCACGTGGATCGATCAGACCGTGGTAAGCTGTCCCGTCAGTTGTGTATTTGCATATTGGCATTTTCGCGCTCTAGCTTCGCAACGGAGCAGTTTCAGAGAAAACCGTTCGAGTAGGTCGTATCCTTTGTGAGACGAACGAACAC